GACCTGTCTTAACTGCCCCCTCTCCCCTTCCCTGAATGTACAGCACCTTGTGAATTTATTTCTGTGAAAGGCGCTATATAAATAAAACTTTACTTATTTACTTACATATGAAATCAAATGAAAAACAAATGCACAAATACAAACCTTCTCCTGCAAGGACGTAGCTCGTCACAGATTCTGATCGTGTTCCACCCTGACAAGGCAAAATAAAACTTTAACTATGTATTACATAAGCAAGATCAAGAGACCAATCTGGCAGATAATCAGAAAAAAAAAACAAATAGGGACAAATATTAAAAACCATCTGACAACAAAATATCTAATTGAGCATAGTGTTACGAAATAGGGCAGTTACACAATCAACTGGGGTATCAAAAAGTAGCAAAAGTACCGTCCTTCAAAACTCTGCTGTAATGTATTCCTATACAAACAAGTTTAAACTCTAGTTGTGGTTGTGTGTGAAGAGTGTATTTTCTAACAAACCTACCAAAAGCTTCCTAATTCAAAAGGTTATGTAGTGAATTTACAAGGTAATGTTACAATCAGAGCCAAAAAAAATCGATAAGACAACATGGCATGCTCACCAGATCCTGTTGAATCTTGACTCTAACTTGGTGAGCTCTCTTCTTGGCGCGTTCAATCTTCTCCTCCAGCGATGGCGACCAGTTTCTCAACTGTTCATCCAACAAGACCTGCAAATGAAGTCAAACTTTATTTGGTTATCAACAGCAGACATGAGGCACAAAACCCATAGAATGAAAAGTCTGGACTGAAACAACTAGTTTGTTTTAGTATGCACACCTGTAGTTCAGCCTCTTCCTGCTCCAGCATCTTCCTGAGTATATCAATTGCATGTTTTTGCACTACTGGATCCTGAAAATTAAGATTTTCCACAAGAACAATAATTTATCAATCTTATTCACAGACAGTTTTTTAGGAGTAGGTTTTTGGTTTTGTTACATTGACAGTAAAAATAAGTTTTTGATAGTTTCATTCACCTGTAGCGGTTTAGGCCCAGTGATTCTTTGGGAAGGGGTGATGCTCGGTCCAGTCGGTAAGGGTGGAGGTGGAGGTGGTGCAGCCTCTCCACTCATAGAGGTTCTCTGATTGGGTGAAAGATCAGAGGGGAGGGGCTCCAAGAGGACAGAGGGTGGTGGTCCTTGTAGTGTCAGGGCGACATAAGTTCCAGCTATAAGACAATAAAAAAATAAACAATTAGATAAATAAAAGATTTAAAAACAATTGGGCTCATTTTAAACTTACATTTTATAAGTTTCACCACCTCCTGATGGGACATGGAGGACACCAAGGAGCCGTTCACCTGAGAAACACGAACACGTTTAAAACAGGATGAAAACACCACCTTACCGGTTTGAACACTCAACAAAAAGCTGTAAAAACCTTGATGATTCGGTCCCCCTCCTGAACCCCGGCCTTAACCGCCGCTCCACCTGAGGAGCACAGACACCGAATGAAACTCATGCAGAGGCCAAACCAAACAGATTATATCGAAAATATTAAATMCAAATATTTTAAAAGCATTTTTGAAGCAGCATCCATCCATCTATCTAAAAACATATTTTCAGACGCTGAGCTGCTCAAATGGTCTCGGCTGGTACTTCTCATATAAAGAATAAGGAAGTTTAAAAGTGTTTCCCCTTTCATCATCTCTGGGAATGTAAGACAAACTAAGACAAGGCCATAGAAGGACATTCTTTAGAACAACTTTACAACTTTTAGGTTATACATGCAGACAGAGACAGGGACTGTTGTTAAAGGGATCCACGATTAGTTGTAACATTAAACTTTATTTGATAAACATTTATTT